GTCAGGCGCCCCTACTATCCCGGTCCCGGGGACTCCTGGGCAGGCTCCGTGCGTCTCAGGCCGGAGAGTAGGACCAGGCGGCACGCAGCCAGGTAACCCGCTACGGGCTCTCCAGGAAGGATTAGATTCGTCGCTATTTTATAAAAGCAAAATTTATTCGCTCTAACTGCCCCCTCCGGGTTAAAATAGAAATCAAAGAAATTGAGCGAACAAGATGGGGGCTTGGGGCCAGGGGGTAATAGAGGAAATGGCGTCCAGGCCAACATCAAGTGTAGATGCTCGCTCTCCCAGCGGCGGTGCGAACAGGGCGGGACCGCAATCCTGGGCGTAGCCGCGCCGGGCCCTCTGCTCCTAGGCCCCAGCCTTGGTATCCACTCACTGCCGGCTTCGGAGGGATCTGGCTTCCTCGCTGTGTAGGGCTCGCCGCTCACCCCGGGGCTTCTTGGGGGTCCGTTCTTGGGGTGTGTGTGGGCGGGTGGGAGAAGGTGATGGGGTGGAGGCCTCATGAGCGAGCGCGCTGGGCAGAAACAGCCTGAGAAGGGGAGGCACTGGGTAACCCACCCCGAATGGGTTCCTGAAAATGAAAACTGGGCACACAAGATGCACCACCAAGAGAGGAACTCGTCCTGTTCCGCGTGCCCGTGCGTGTAAAGGGAAAATAAAGATCTGATGAGAAGGCCAGGGATGGCCTGGTATAGAGAATGTGGGCCTCTAGCTAAACCAAAATGAGCAAGCGGAAAAAGATAGCAAACCAAAGCGACACCAGGGCAGGTGTTTGGCCTAGAGCTTAGGAAGCCTGTGTCCTACAGGGGAGTGCCTGGGTTTGGGTCCGCTGTGGATTCCAGTTTCCTGCCAATGCAGATCCTGGAAGGCGACAGGATGGCTCAAGGGTTTGGGTACCTTCCGCTGAGGAGTCGCCCAAGTCCAGTGGGGCCGGGCCGGCATTTGGGGAGTGGACCAGTAGATGATGATGGTGGGCTCTGTGTGTGTGTGAGGGAGACTGGAATTTTAAAAAAAGAATACCAAAGGAAATACGAAACCTATTAACCACCACAAACCCTAAAACTAAAAAAATTAAAATATAAAACCGAAAATAAATCCCCAAGTGCGGGCCCCCTGCAGGAGCCGTGCCTGGGGGAGCTGATTAAAATAAGGGTCCCAGCGCCACCGGGCGGGCGAAGTCCCGGACTCGTTCCAATGCAGCCCAGCCCCCAGCTGCGGCCACAACGGCGGCCCGCACCGCCAGGCCTGCGCCCGGGCCCAGACTCCCTAGGCCCAGCGACTGTTGGAAATGCAAGCAGAAAGCAAGCGGACGCCAGGAGGCTCTGAGCCCAGACATGGCTGCGGGAGGAGGCCTCTATGCCCACAGTCAGCTCCTAGCCAGAGCCCCCGACGCCGCGGGCCTTGGCGCGGCGTCTTCGACGCGTGCAGGAGAGCCAGGGCCTCGCCAGGCGCGCTCCGTAGAGCGGACTTCACTAAGAGCAGTCCGCCTTCCCCCATCCACTCCTGGCGAAAAGTGTCCAGCTGGAGCCAGAGGCCCAGCCCCCAGCCGCCGCGCTCCCAGGGTGACAGCGCTCTCGCTGGTGTGTGGGTGAGGGGCAGCGAGCCTCTCGGGCGAGGCATCCTGCAATTTAACCCGCCCTCCCGCTTCCGGGCGGAGGGGTACCGAGGGTGCGTCTCCAAGGGGGTCTGGGGACCCGCAGGGACAGAGCTCAGCCCCGTTGGGGACGCTTCAGCTCCACGGAAGGCATTCTCTTTCAAGGTCGCTGGGGGAATTCGCGTCTGGATTACTTTGGGAAGCAGGCAGGTGTGCCCCGAGTGTCCGCGGCGCGAGCACAGATTTTCGGATAGCAGGACGTTTGGGTTAGAAAGTACTCGCCTCTTCTGAATGCCCGGATCCCGGCTCCACCGAAAAGGCCAGAGCGCTACCCACCGCTGCACCGGGAAAGGCCTGTTCCTTGCAGTGGCTTCCTGCTGGCGGTTGGCATGTCCTTCCCAAATATGAAACAAAAGGATCCCCCCTTCCCCGCCCCTCCCCGGCCCCTTGGCGGTGCACACCGGCCTGTGCCGCCCTGCCTGGTGGTAGGCCTGGGCGGATGCCTCGCTGTGTGGGCCGCGTGGGGTGCGCGCGCCCGCGTATGCGCCCGCGCCTGGCGTCTGTGACTGAAGCAGCCTCCATTTTGACGTACGGCGTGCACTGTCGCGGGCCGCCCAGGCTCCCTACCCGGAATTCGAAGCCGCAGACAAGGCTTCAGTCCTTGACTAATGGGGTCCTGCCCACAGGGCTGGGGAGGGCCTCCCCTTGCGGTCTACAAGGTGGCACTGATTCTTCTTTACCATCAGCTAGTTCTTGACCCTCGGCTGCTCAGCCCCCAACACAGTCCAGCCCCTCGGCCCGGGGCCTAACGGAGACCAGGCGAAGGGTGGAGTGAGTTGGGAGAGGCCCTGCCCTCCCCACCAGAAGTGGTCTGTGGGTGGCCTCAGAGCTACCTTCCTTCGAGAAATATTTCTGGAGCTCCTGCTGGGTGTTTGTAACCTGCAGACAACACCTTGGGTCCTTAGCACCCCCTGCAAGGTTAAGGGCTGTGGGTCCCTAGGTGCAGATGAGGAACAGAGAGACAAAGGAACTGGCTCGGGCTGCAAGGGCTTTGAGTCCAGGATTCTAAACCAACTCTGCTTAGTGCTGCCACCCAAGTACTCCCTCAACAGACCTGCTACCTTGGGCGGGCCCTCAGGCCCTGAGTTTAGAAGGGAGGTGGACAGAAAAGACCCAAAGGAAGCGGGTGCCCTTGGAGGAGGGGGAGGGGGACTTACACAAACACAACCTGGGACCGAAATGGCAGCACCTCCCTTCCACCTTTCAAGGTACTTGGGAGAGCAGCGTGTATTCTTGGTGGTTAAGGATACCCAGGGCCTAAGGAAGGGACGTTCATTCTGGGCTGAGGCATCGTGGACTTCCCAGTTATCAGAGCCTCTGCCCTGAGCCACAGTGGGGCTGTGAGTGACACAGGTGACCCTGACTGGGAGGGATTAGTGGGGAAGGGCAGAGGGATTTATGAGGGACCCAGTTTGTTTTTCATTTTCATTAGGTACACAAATATATCTGCTGTGCTTTGTATCTAGTATCTCCATTGTATATTACAAATATAAGGGCATGGCTGTGTGCAAGGTATACCCCCTAAAGATGCACCCAGGTTGCTCCATCCCTGCCTGACTTGGGTGGCCCCACCCTGCAGGGTGCTGGGTTGATTCTGACTCTCACCGTATGTGAGTCTCTCTGCACCTAAAGACTGCTTCAGATCTGTACACAAAATTTATTTGTTCCACACACAGGGTTAGTGGTGTGGAGTGTGGGCAACAGATGGGCACAGAACTCACAGCAGTCATGGCGGAAAAAAAGATGCCCACATGTAGACAGGGTGTGGGGTGATGAGTGTCACAGGCACAGACTGTTGGTCTTGGCAGTGTGTAGGCTTGGGACACTGATTTCTTCATCTCTGGAAGCCCAGTAGATTTCCTTAATGCAGCCGCACTGGCTACTCACACCTCACACTCAGGACACCCTGCAATCTACAGAATGGAATCTCATTTAATCTTCGGTGCACAACAGGTCCCAGTACCTGCTAGAATTCCTGATGGTCTAACTTCCTTGCCCTAAGTGTGTTCCCAAAGCAGCATTGGACTGGCACCAGCAGTATTTCTGGAAGCCAGGGTCCCTGTACCTGGGTTCAAGACAGTCATCAGTCACCTTCTTGTGTGGTTGCCTCCGTGTTCCACCCTAGCCCTGGCCCCCTCTCAATGGCAACTCACACCCAGCGGCTGCAGGGAGGTTGTTGCCAAACAGGCCGAGGTATTCCAGAGATCAGTTCAGCTCAACTTGGGATCCTGGTGCTACTGTGACCAGGAGCCAAGTCCAAGCCGGTTCCCCTTCCCCGGTGGAGGGTGAGATTCAGCTGCAGTTGGGGGTCTCCAGAGGCCCTTAAGCTCCCAGGAGGGGCCGGCGAGAAAAAAGGGCTGGAAAGGGCAGCGAGGGGTAAGCGGGGAGAGGGAATGGAGGAAGGAGTCCCACTAACGCGGGCTCCAGGCTGGCCGGGTAGCAGTCTTCAGGCTTGGCTACGGCCTGGGGACAGGCTGAGCACAGAACTCTGGAGACCCCTTTTCTCTTCTCATCTAGCCGGGCAAGGCCCGGATGAGTGAAAGAGGACCCCGTACTTCCCACGCCTGAGGAGTCCCGGCTTCGCGGGGCGCTTGCGGGGAAAAGGGTACTGGGAAAGCGAGTTTCGTGCAAAGAAATGGCCGGGAAAGAAGAGAGGAGGGCCAGGAGCAAGGGAGGCTTGGAAAGGACGCGAAAGGCCGGGAAAAGGCGGTGCCGAGAGCCGGCCGGGCCCGGGATCCGCGAGGAAGTGGGAACCGAAAGAGCGAAGCCCTAGCCCGCGGGCGCCGCGCACGCCATTCTCCGCATCCCGAGCCCTTTGCGGCAAGCAACCGGTGCGGGTCCCCACTCCTGGGGATGGGCAACAGCAGGCGAGGAAGCTCCCCGGCCGCCGGCCGCCGAGCGGAGCCCGGGCCTTTTCCTCCCGGAGTGACCGATACTGGTCCCTCTACGTCCTGTCCCCGCAGAGCGCGCGTGACGCTTTTCTCTGCACCTGCCGTGAAGCACGCGGGGCGGGGATTCGGCACTCAGCATCCCGGGCCCCCATCTCTGCCCCCGCCGCAGCAACCCGCCCGGGTGGGCCTAGGGAGAGGAGACGGGCCCCAGAGGCTAAGAACTGCAAGGCAGAGGAACAGGGACCTCCTCGGTCCAGTCGCTGCTTTGTCCCCTGCACTCAGCCCGGTGTCCAACACACAATAGACGCTCAAAATATTACTTGCTGAAGGAATGACTGAACGGTGAATGAATGAATACAGGAACTAGAAAGAGGGGGCCGCCGAAGGTCAGAGACCCCGAGAGGCGTGAGGTGGGGGCCCCGGTGGCCTCAGACTACCGGCCGTGCCCTTACCTCGCACCAAGATGCGGCGGCAGTGGTCCGCCTCGCCCGACCCGGGCTGCCCGTCGCTGTCGGCGCCGCTCTCCCTGGAGCCCGCGGGGCTGGAGGCCGATGTTCCGGCAACCTCCCTTGGGCTTTGGCCGCCTGCAACGGCTCGAGAGTCCTCCGCTCCGCCAAGGTCCCCTTCGCGCCGACCGCCGACACCAGACTCCGCCCGGCGAGCGGGGCCGCGGTCGCGCTCGGCGCCCCCATCGCCCATGCCGGCCGCCACTGCAGCCCTCGCTGCCGCCTAGCCGGCCTGGGCTGGCCGAGCCCGCGGCTCCCCGCCCCTCGCGCCCCCCGCCCGGCTCCTCTTTCTCTGGCCCCGCCCCCGCCCTGCTGCTCCGCCCCTCCGCTCTGATTGGCCGCGAGTGCGGGTTCCCGGAGTCCCGGCGGCTCACCCGGACTCCGCTCCCGGGGCGAGTGGGCAGGGGGCGGTAGCTCCACTTCTCCACCCCTAGTCTAGCCCCGCTCGGAGCCGCGCAGAGGGAGGCTGGGGCGGCCCCAGAGTACAATCGACACCCTCTCCCAAAGTTGGTCAGCCTCTCCTCCCCTCGCCACCAGCCTGCTGGCTTCCGCACTCCCTGCGTCCCCAGGGACGCGCGGTCTCCGAGCTCCGGCCGCTCAGCAGGATCGATAACCAAAGTATTCGAGGAAGGACACCCCGGCGGGACAGAACAGAGAACAGGAGGTTGGCCTGGCTCGGGTTCTTGGCGGGGGTGGGGTGGGGCTGGAGACGGGGATGGGCGCAGACGGGGGTTCAGTGTGCCACCCCCAGCACATTCACACCCACACTCGTGAACTCCCTGTCCCTTCTGGAAGGGCAAGAACGAGAGTCAGGGCAACAAGCTTGAGCATGTGAGGCCGGGAAAATCCCCCGCACTCCGGGCGTGGGGCCAAGCGCGCACACTGACGCCGGGTCCGGGAACCTAGAGTCGCGACGGAGGCGGAAACGCCCGGCTCCCGCGCAGCTCCCGGGCCGTAGCACTCTGAGGGGCTGCACCCCGAGACGGGGATAGATAGGTGGGCAGTTCCTGGGACTCACCACCCCACACACCACGCGCGCGCCGGGAGCCGTCCCTTCGTTCTGCGCCGGGTCCACATCCCCGCCCTCGCGGGCAACAGAGAGACAGAGGGCGGTGGTGAGCGCGGCTGGCCGCGGGCGGGGTCGGGCGGTGAGGAGCTGGGAGTGGGGACTCCAGCAGCGGCCCTCGGAGGCCCCGCGTCCGGAGCGCTTTTTAGAGAGTCTCATTTCTCTCTCAGCGCCAGCTGGGGCCTGGCCCCCACTTCCTTTCCGTTGACTTAGAGACTTGAAAGGGTTGAGAACGAAATGTGTGTGCGCCCCAGAAGGCGCGCTGACCTCTCCCCTAAAGCGCCATCCATGCAGACTTTTTCCTCGCCGTTTCCGACCTGATGGGGGTGAGCCAGATGGCTTCGGGCTGTCTGAGGGGCTGGTGGAGGATGGCTGTGAGAACAGGCCGAGAGCAGGGTGTAAGTGGCCAGGTGTGTCGCAGGAGTAGAGCCCGTGACTCCTGTAAGGGGTGAACGGGTCTACGAGGGGACTTCGAAAAGTTTGTGACAGATGGAATTAGAAGGTAATATTTCTTTTTTATGTGTGTGGTACAAAAGAATTTTGAAGTCCATGCATTAAAAACTGCAAACGTTTGTGGAAAATAGGAATGGTGAAAACAACTATGCACCAAACAATTCTCTTTTATTTCATTTCCACGACCTTTTGGAAGTACGGCGTTTGAGATTGCACGGTGTTGATGTCTCGCGTGTGTGTGAACGGGTGAGTGTGTGCATCTGTCCAATCCCAGATGTCTCCAGCAGAAGACGGGCAGCAGCGCCCCAGTCACTTAATTGGGGAACCAAGGACGCCTCTACTTAGGGTTTGGAACCGGGGAAATTGGAAAGAGTAGAGAGCCCGCTGATATGTCCTAAGGGAGGGAAAGAGAGAGGGGAGGAGGCGCAGTTATTTGGGGAGGCGACTGGAGAAAGAGGGTCGCGCCCAGGGTGCAGGACCAGGGGTGCACCAACTGTGGTGCACCAACTGTGGGCGCTGAGTTCCTGCGAACAAAGCGTGGGGCTGTGGAAGTGTGCAGGGGAGGGGAGAAAGGTTTATGGAGTTTCAAGAGGGCCCTGGGGAAAGTGCGAGGGCCAGAGGAGCGCGGCTGCAGGGGTCCGTGCTCTCGGCTCTCTCTCTCTCTCTCTCTCTCTCTCTCTCTCTCTCTCTCTCTCTGACCCACCCCACCCCGCCCCAGCCCCCAACCCAGCCCAATGGGGTGCGTTCTCCACCCCGCCTGCCCCACCTCCCTTCCTCACGGACATTTCTTTTCTTTGGCTCTCTCGAATTTATTGTAAGCAGCAAACCAACCCTCAGCTGGACCCCCGCCCACCCCGTAGCCCACGAGGTTGTGCCCACCACACGTGAGGCCCGGGTTCTGGGTGAACAAAACTGGGACAACACCTGCTGGACCCAGCCGGGCTTTCTTTGTTTTCACCGTTTTAATTTTTCATCTCGCTAATGGCATCTTTGTGTGCCAGCAACTCGGGTCTCAGTTCCAGTCTCCTCTCCTGGGGTCGGTGGCCGGCTTTCCGGACCTGCGCCTCCCAGGGCTGAACCGTGGCCTCCTGCGGGGTCCCAGGAGGTTCGAGCGGCTTTTTCTTCCCCAGCTGCGGGAGAGCCCCGCAGGGAGGCCGCGCCAGACCAGACCCGTGTAGACTTTAGGAGTTCCCAGGTTCCTCCTTTCTCCTGCGACCTCGGTCCTTTCTCGCGTTCGGTCTAGAACGGTGCCCTAGCCGCACCGCTCCTACGCCGGGGATAGGGCGATGAAACCAGGATTTCGTGCCGGCAGCAGGGTGACGGGCGAGGAGCGGGGGTTGGGGGGGGGCACTTCACCAGGCCCAGGCCCTGACCCAGCCAAGGATCTTCTAGGCCCAGCTAGAGGCCCTCCGCTCGCACCCTGCCTGAGAGGCGAATTGTGCCGGGCCACGGGGCATCCTGTCGATGCCTTGTGCCCAGTCCAGGTGGGAAGGCTTTTTGTCGCACCTGCGTGCCCTGCTGGTACCTATACGTGGCGAGGGGGTGTGAGTCGGTCCCATCCGAGTGTGTGCATGCTGGGGCGCACGTTGAGACCCCGTCTGGTTCTGGTGGACTACCCCCCACTCCCCACCCCTGGAAGCCGGAGGCGCGGCAAGTCCGGCTGGTGCGAATTCACTGGGATCCCGGGGCTTCTCATGGCGCATTTGGGAGCGGAGCACAGTGTCCTACGCCTGCTGCCTCGCCATCACCCCAACTTGGCCAAGACCTCAGGGGCCCAGGGCAGTCCCTACCTGTCTCCACTTCCTTTTTTTGTGAAGCTATGGGAGAACCCAAACACAGAAGAGGTGGGAGGGAGATTCCCCGCCAGCAGGGGGCAGGGCGACAGCTTCGACCCTGCTCCACCACAGTGCAGGCGACCCACAGAAGCTGGCCCAGCCCTTTCCTGGTCGTGTGGGACCGCCGTAGGCCGCGGTCATCTCCCTTGGGACCTCCGCGGGTCTAGGGGCACCCGGGGGCTGGCGTTTCGCGGGATGAGCAGATTCTGGGCACAGCGAGACCTGGGCTGGAGGCCTGCGAGGCTCTGCCCGTGTGTGCTCCCCAGCCTCCGAGGCGCGGACCACCCCCCCCGCCCCGTAGCTGGAGGCAGGCAAGGTCGGCAGGGAGGGGCGCTCCTCACAGGCCCCTTAGAAATAGGGTGTTTTGGGGTGGTGGTGGTTCTCCAAGGATGGGCCTGGGTTGGGGACAGAGGCTGTCCTCTCTGGCCTTGCCTGGCTCAGTGGCACCCACCCCCACTCCAATCCTTGCCCCTTTGTAGGCTGTGGGCCTCTTCCAAACCCTCCCCATCCTCCCTTCCTGGAGCTCAGTGGGTGAGAGCCAGGCCCTGGCTCCAAGGGATACACAGCACCCTGCATGCCCCCCCCCTCCCACCCGTCACCTGCCCTCTCCAGGGTGGGCAATGTGAATGGTTTTCTGGGTGCTTTGGAGGGAAGATGTGTACATGGCTGAGTGCCGCGGTGTGGTGCGGCTCCCTGGGAAGCCACCAGCTTTTGCAGCAGGTGCTCACAACCATACCCCATGGCTCTTTCTTTCTTATCCCTCAGATGCTTTCTAGGCCTGGACCTCGGGACCCAGCTCAGCTCCGCACTAGAAGCTGCTTGGCTCTCACCAAGGCTGGGGCCCAGCCTCCCTCCCTCGTGCTCACCCGCCCCTGCTTCCTCCCTTCCTCCCCACTGTCAGCCCGCACTTCCGCCCAGTAGCTGCCAGGGCCTGGGTGCTCAGAAGTCGGGTTTCTCTGCCCTGCTGCACTGGCTTTGTGCCTAGGTCCCCTGCTTGACACTCTCCCTGCTGGTTTTGGGGACCCACTCAAAGGTCCCTTGGAAATCCTGGGTGGCACTTGCTCTGCCCCCAGAGAATCTAGTTCCCAGGGCTGCTGTTCTGCTCCGCCACCTTGCTGGGATTGGGGTTTGCCTCCCGCGAAAGAAGGCTAAGCTCAAGCATAGAAAGGGCAATGGGAGCCTGCTGGGAGCCGGGGAGGGACCCTACTGCAAGATGAGGCTCAGGGAGGCTCAGTTGGCAGAAGGGCTTTGCACCCCGCTGAGTTCCCAGTCCCACACCTGTGGCCCAGGGCTAGGTGCCTGGGGGCCACAGCTCTACACTGGCCTAGTAGAGAGGGATCCAGGGTCGGGCCTCTGGTGTTTATGTGCTGGTGGGCTTGGTGGTGATATTTTAAAGGGAGCTGAAAAACTATTGAAAAAAATTTTTTTACAATGACTTATTATTTTATAAAACAAACAGTATTCCTATTAGAGTAGCCATGCTGAAACTGGAGGAGGGCAGTTTCCTGGCCTGAACATGGTGAGACTCCTCCACCTCCAGTGTTTAGGTCCCTTCTGCATGGCTTGTCGCCTGCAGGCCCTCTGGCTGACCCATTTCAGGCTATGCCAAGATGATGGAGGCATGTCAGCTGGTGGTCCCGGGCAGCAGGACTCTAGGACTGGGAGGGGGGCACCACTGTGAGGATAGGCAGGGCCATGAGGTTACCACTGAGTCAGTGAGCAGAGACCGCCAGTTGGCTGGGCCTGCCTGCTCTAGGGTGAGATGCTGAAATCTCCAGCATTGCACCCCCTCTGAACCCACTGCCTGACTCACTGCCCGGCACTTACCCTTCCTGGTGGTGGCGCATGGGCCATCAGTGTGTCTGTTGAACTCTGGTCTACAGTTTAGGTAAGCCCAGCTACTGTGGCAGCCGAAGCCCTAAGCCATCTCCAGGCACAGCCTGGATCCCCCAAGGCAGCGTTCTCTTATTTTCTTCAACTCCCCAACTCCAGAGCCAGTGGGTCCATGGCAATGCACCAGGCCTGCTACAGTGCTGGCTATACCCCTGAGCTGCTGAGTGCTTGGGCCTGCCAGGAGGACCACCTGGAAAGGCTGAGGATCTGGGCAGGGTTCTACACAGGGCCACTTTGGAGCAGTCATCAGCCCTCACCTTGGCTCTGGCCTTGGGCTAGGGCCAGACGGGCTTAAGAAAAGAGGCAAGGGGCCTCTGTGGCTGTGACATAGCAGGTAAAGCCACAACTTGCAGTGCCAGCATCTCACGTGGGTGCCAGTTTGAGTCCCGGCTGCTCCACTTCTGATCCAGCTCTCTG